ATAAAAAAGTATAAAAATGAGCATATAAATTGTTTACAATTTTTTACATTTTAAGTACACAAAATTAATTTTATTTAATAACCAATAATTATTATTTGTATTGTAATTGTTGAAATAAATATATTTTTGTAAATTTTGTTTATTTTATTATATTAGTTGTTAATCGATTAGTTGTAAANTTTGTATTCTCACAGTTTCTTATTATATGTCGCGTGAGACTGTTGTTACCNTCGTCTTTGTGTGTCAGCGATGTGAGGGTTTGCAGACTGTTATTAGCAGGCTAACTAATANTACGTTAATTTTCGTTTTCTTTTTCTTGACTTACATATATATAAAAATCTTNACTCTTAAATTACAAATTTTATCTTATTTGACAACTTGAAATCTTTATTTCTTCAATTAATATCCGATTACAAACTTTTCGGTACATAAACATCATGTATATGTGTTTATGTCATTGAATGTTTGTCCTCTCGTCTCGCCGTTATGCTTAGTCGGTTGACAACTACTATGAATAAGTGTGTACATATATTTATTTCAATTATTGTTATAACAAACAGTTTAAATCCAGAATTCACATTTTCTTATATTATATTGTAATGTAGACAACTTGCTCAAGAAGATAAAAAAATAAAGTAATCGAAACGTTCATTTCCTACTCCTATGANTCTACCAAATTTATTAAAGAAAAAAACCAACCTCAGTGGACTACCGGCGACTTTGGTCTATCTTAATTATTTAAAGATATGAAATTATTATGCACTTAAAGGTAAAAAATTATATATGAATACATAAATAATATACATATTATTAANACATATATAATATATGTTTTAAGTTTACAATATCAACATACTGAACCATGCATTACGCCATGTTCATNGCTGCACTATGGCGTTCTTTATACACCCATGTGAATTGTTGCACTTGCCTTATACTTATGTGCATTCTNTTGTCCTAGTTCAGAACTAGTATAGTCCTGAAAGGTAGAAAAAGAATAAACCTATAGTCTTAAGGTACAATTTCATAGTCGCTTGTCGCTGAGATGAGTAGTCACGTGATNGAATTTTGTCTACTTTCTTGTCGCTAGCAATGCCGAAGAAAAGTTGTATTGAATCTAACTTTTAGCGACGTCGTTCTCACGCAAAATGAGTTTAAATATGGAATCGCAAGATGTAAGTACAATAAATAAATAAAGAAATAAGTACAAGTTTCTTATATTTATTGTAGTAAAATATTGGAATTAAAAAATCGAANAAATGGAATGAATTCAGTTTGTTATAATTTTAAGGTTAACTGGTAGGTAAATGTATTACAAAGTGTGTGTTAATGTAATCATGCACAGCAGGATAAAAATTGTTAACATTAATTAATATAATTTCATACAATTTTCAGATAGCTGTTGTAAAGGGTCTTTCAATAGAGACGCAGAACTTTGGTAGATCATAGTAACCATGTTGTTAAAGTGACATCTGTCAAATTTGTTGTGAATTGTTTAGTATTGTATGGCAAATCACCATGGAAGTTTTTAGTGTTGAGCAACGTGTGCAAATCATAAAATTTTATTATCAAAATCGGTGCTCTGTTTGAGAAACGTTCCGCGCATTACGTGATTTTTATCCTCGCCACAACCGTCCTTCCGAGTCGATTATTCAACGTTTGGTGGTCAAGTTCGAGTTAACCGGTTTGATAAATAATCAGCCAACACCAGTACGTCATCAAAACGCAAGGTCTGCTGAAACATCGCTGNTGTGCGTGATAGTGTACAGAAAAATTCAAGAAGATTTGCCATACAATACTAAACAATTCACAACAAAGTTGACAGATGTCACTTTAACAACATGGCTACTATGATCTACCAAAGTTCTGCGTCTCTATTGAAAGACCCTGTACATACTTGTNGAATATGTGAAATGATTATCGAGGAAAAGAGTATTCCGTCTCATGATTGCGTGGAAGGATACAATCGGTTCTTCATCAATACAAATTTTTATTTCTATCCAGTAACAAGTATAATATATATATTTACTTACTTTTTGTTTCACNAGTGAGAAGAATAATATTCTACAAAAATTGATATTATTATTTGTAGATGATAATCGCATTGTTTGACGAAGCCTTGTCAACCATGAAGAAGTTGTCTTGCCGGTTGAAAAAGTTACAGGTAAATAGAAACTTTGAAATCCTGAAAGTTGCAGTAATAAGTGCATTTTTAAAAATAAAATTGATTTTACGAACCATAAAAATACTTCCGTCAAACAAAGAAACATCACAAGGAAAAAATAAAAGTAGATTTTATAATAAAAAAGCCAAAAGAAAAACCGTAAAATCATTGAATTACGACGACGAGGAACTCCTAATTTTATCCGTTCAAGANAAAAGACCCTTGTGGGACTTTACTCTTTACTATTCCATTAAAACAGCGATGCCAACGATTGACAAAAAAATTGTGGGATNAAGTCTCGGAAACATTGAGAGGTAAAAAAACGTTAAAAACATTTGTGGTTAAAATATTTAAAAAAAATTTATTTACAAGCAAACTTAGCGGGGAAGAAGCAAAAAAAAGTTTAAAAATTATATATTTTGATTACGTACGCTTTCGAACTGTATTGTTTTTAACTTGTAATTTTTATATTTTCCGGGGAAAAGTTTTTAATATTGATGTTGATAATGACTCTTTAAATAATATTGACCAATCAATAAATGATGATGATGCAACTGGCAATGATCAATTAGAATCAGGGGCATCAGGTACTTGACTTATACAGGGTGCGTCGCCAAAATCCGGACAAATTTCAATTTGATATTTCCTCCGTTCAGTACCATTGGCAGATGTCGCGATTGGCATTCAAATAGCTTGACGCATGT